AGTTACGCATTGCTTACTGCGACAGTCTCCTAGAAAGTTTCAAGTGAGCTAGAAATACAATGGTTCGTTCGTTAAAAGGTTTAACCTGTGGCCATTCTACAGATGCTTAACAAAACGTTCGGACTTACAATAAACAGCTGAGAATAATTTGCAATGATTGCAAGTTTCCATTAAAAGTTTATTTAAATCCAAGAAACAACAAGTTACAAATTTCTATCTTTAATTTGTAATCTTATATATATATATATATACTTGTATTCTGGGTAGAACGTATTCCGTAGAGCGCTCAATTCATTTAATTGAAGAGCATTGATTATTAATAATCACAGGAGTTCAGGCTTCAGGAGTAATCATTGATCGTTTATTGCGATAGTGTTGTTTCGTGTGGTCCGAAACCAGGACCACACTATCATCAAAACAACTTCAACGATTGGCCGTTAAAATTAAAAGCTGGCAGTAAATATAGGGATGCGTTAAGAGATAGTATCTAGGTAACAGATGGATTGTGTCTTAGTTACGTTACTCTAGAGTTCTGAAGTACATATATATATTATATATATATATAATTCTCTTCAGAACTGAGTTTAAGACATTATTAAATATATAGTTTTAAAGTATCTTTCACCATTCACTTGTTTCTACCTTTAAATTAACTTTTAGAAATTCGTTCCTAAAGGAAAACTACTTTCCTTCACTAAAAATTAGAGGTGGGGCAAGAACTATATAGAACTGTCTTGATTTGGACAAAAATAAATCTCCTCTTGGATTTTGGATTATTGAAATTTCTATTCCACCGGAATAAACTGCGTATTTTTCCATTTTGAAATACTGTAATGAGAAGGTCGTAAAAGGACGGAGCATAAGAGTTTATGATAAGCAAGGCTCTACAAACTTATTAACTAACACAAAGCGTAAATCGTTTTCATGGTGGACAAAACATCGATGTTAACGGAAAAAGAGAATTTTTCCAATTACAGGCGTTATAGTTACTACAGCTCCAGACATTTCTTTTAATTAGTATTGGTGCTCATCCTAATACGACCCCCAAACTGAAACAAATCGTCGTGAACATAACTTTGGGTACCATTGAAAATATTTAACTTTTTTCTCTTTTGGAGATACATAAAAATATCTTAAAGACAAAAAACGTGAGACAGCTAAGAAACGAATCAAGCTGTTTGACAGATTTCATCGTCTACAACTACATATTAAATATTCTTTTCGATTTCTAGTTTTTTAAAATATTACGTTTCATAAATAACTCTAAACATATGAAAATAAATATTCTTGAAATAAAATTGCTATTTATAAATAATTCACTTTGCCAAAAATCCATTTAAAAATTCTTTAAAATGTAATAAATTAAAAATTATTCAGTATTTCCATGGGGAGAGTAGAGCTTCAAGAGGTGTCCTGTTCTTTCAGTATCGTCAGTTGCGTAGCTTTGTTACCTCTTTTGGTTTTCGTTCCATTCTTCATGTGACCTGTTCGAGTCCTAATGGCTAAAAAGAGTGGCTTGTTATACTTGCTGTTTATTGGAATGTAATATTTATACGAAGCGAAGGTATGATGACCATCTGGTTCGTGGGTTTCTTCGGAATATTGTTTCGTCAGTTGATGATCCTGCAAAAAACATACAAACAAAAAGTTGTTAGTGAAATATTACTAATGATTGCATATCTCTTTAACTTTTTTTTTTTTGAAAAAATCACAGATTTGCTTTCAGCCTTTCGATTTTGTTGTTAGAATTTGTGAAAGATATAAGCCGTGACCCGATGGACCCGTCCATTTTTATTCTGGGGGCGTCAGTCACAATAGATTACAACTTGTAATAAATCATGCACTTTAATTTCCTTTCAATTTTTTTTTTTTTTTTTTTATTGCGGCAAGCGAACGACGCATTAAATAAACAAGTAGGAATTGTTACTAAATTATCACAAGAATATTAAACGTGGGAAGCAATATTTGCCGAGAATAACAACACATATACTGACGCGACTTTCTTCCAAAATCATGCAAATTGTTACAACAACATGCGCTTAGTAATCTATCAAATATAGACATTGATTGAAGGTTAACAATCACACTTTAAAACCAAACCCCAGTAAAACTGTAGCCATAAGCCTCTGGACGAAGAAATACGCTCGAGCATTACTGCAACTGAAGTCGAATTAATTTTCAAATGAAAGAATTTCACTGTATAATGAGGCATTAGACATTTTACCAATTATTAGCGGCGCAATGTGGGGCCTAACATCGGTAAAGGTTAATTTCCCGACCCTCTTGATACACTCAAGATTTTCACTTAGTCGTTAGTATCATTTAAAACTCGTACCCTCTCAGACACCTGGTATTTCCAATGGTTATATCTTTCCACGAATTTGTTTCATGAAGTAAAAGAAATATTACCTAGCATTATAACTATTAACGATAATGTTAATGATAACAAACAATGACGTTAACTATCTTACCGTAGTGTATACCCCTCCTGTAGAAGACATGGCTACGTAAAGGACGCTTTCTTGCTAAAAAAGTTGGACCAAGCTCGTCCCAACTGATCGCTGTTGAAGCTTTACTGCAAGAAATAATAATTAACAAATGAAGGGCATGACTCTGTCTAAGCGCTCAAGATTACGAGGCTAGTGCTGTATTGTAAGTTATTGAGTTGCGGAGGCCTATTGTCCGAGCACAACATATTAACATACGCAAAGAGACATCTTTAGTCGTAAATGTTCAGTTTAATTTTCTATATTGCAATGGAGCTAAAAGTGGAATATTTTAGTCATTCTAAGCAGAACGCTGAGACAACAATATAACTACAAAGCAACATAAACGTAACATGTTGACTTACTGTCTGGGCTCTGAGCATCAGAAGTTCCATTGATATTGCCGTCATTATAGACAGCTAAAAACCACCCGTTTTTGTAAAGGAGAGAAACATCGCAGCTCGCTGTGTGTCTTGAAGTGTGTTGAGACACTTGAGATCTTGATGCTATGGAAGGAACTCTTGTCCCATTGGCGCGTCTTCGTTGTCTTAGTCGCATGATCTTGCTTAGCCTTTCGGAAACAGGCCTAGCCCCAGATGAAGCGATAAAATACATGAAAACAAGGGTATATATAACCTGCCAAACAAGGGAAATTTACGTGAAAAAATGTTCTGTTTATTTTTAGCGGCATAACAATAGTTTAATGCCTCAATGATCTCTTTTATAATGCTTAGTTCTGCTCTTATTTATGGCTTTCTTGTTCAATAATAAACGAAGTGCTTAATTTCTTAGCAAGTCACGGACACTTCAAGTAACTTAACTGCCTTAAGCCTCAATATATGAATAACAATTCTCTCCACTTCATGTTCAAAATTAACATTTATGCTGTAAGAGAATTTGGTAGTGGAACAAACTGCTTCGCTGATGGAATACCTTATTCTCAAAACCTTCAACTTTCATCCACAGTGTAAGAGAATCTCGGAAATGATCATTCATTGTGGTTGACAAAAAATTGCATTCTCTACCACTAAGATTCACCCAATTTCCGGAATTTGAAAACCTAAGCTGAGAAATGACAATAGATCGAACGTAACTGCTCTTCAATTTCAGTTTGCAAAATATAGGTGCAAAATTTGCAACGTTAGCCAATTTCAAAACCAACAGCCCCTAGAATTTTTAATAGAAATATGCCGTTCCAGTTGAATTGCCCTTTCTTCGTCTCAGGAAATTCCCTAATAACCTTAAAACAGCGATTACAATTGAAAGTAGCAAACACGTGTGTTAAAACAGAAATGAAATATGATGAAACTTTTCCGAACTTTCATATAACGGGGGAATCGTATAATCAAATAACATATTAAGTATGTTAGAAATAACAGCTCTACTAAAACACCAAGGTGTAAATTTCATTTTTCGTTTGTTACTGGCAATGAAATAAATCTCAAAAAGAAGATGATAGTTTGATGACTTGCAAAAAGGGCACACTTCAAAAACGGCTTTTTGTCATGCACATTAAAATTAAAACTCTACAGAATTAAACACAACTTAAAACAGTCTCTAAATGTCGCCAGAAATTATTACATTTCTTACATAAAAATAGAACAAATTTACCTGCAATAAGCCCATTTCAGTCTTTTTGTCCGTAAGCAACTAAAAAATGCAATGTAAAAATCCTGGGATATTATTCTTAACAGCAAAGTCGATCTTCTATGATTTCAAGACTCCACTCGCTAAGTAGATGTTCGCGCGTCGAGTATCGCTCTTTGTAATATTCTGAGGCTTTGCAAGTCTCTTATATTAGCCATAACGGGTTTCCGGGGTAACCATTACTAACAAAGACTACTAAAATGACGTAATTACTTTGTCGTTTTTAAAATTTTCCTTAAGCCGTGGAATGTTCGGGGAGGAAATTTCAACCAAAATCCCCCCTAAACGACGTCCTGCGGATAAAAAGGGCCAGAAAAAACCCGCAATTACCGGAGACTATTTTTTTAATTCTGCATCCTACACTAGGATTTCAAGGAGGGATTGTGAAACTTCCTTTAAGCAAGTTCCAGCGAAGAGAAGAGTGGAAAAAAAAGAGTCCCTAGGGAAACTATTAAGAAACAATTTTGATAACTAAGTGTGGAGGCTTTGGATCTGAGCAATTTTGCAGGTGAGTCAGTAAACTCTGTGTTACTATGCGTGTTAGGCAGCCTGTAGCTGCAGCTAAGGGCGTGTATTGACTTTTTTCTTTACAACAATATCGCGATGAAAGTGCAGTAGAAACGCATGGTTGCCTTTTGAATGACCCGGCAGGTCACTTTATAGAAAACAACAGTTCTTTTTACAGCTTGACGTGTTTATCCGCAAATAACAAAGCATATTTCGAACTAGTTAAACCGCATACACTGCTAGACTGCTCTTTTCGTAGCATACATAAACTCGCTGATGAAGTTTGACCGAAGCTTTTGTAAACACTTTATTTGCGAGACCCATGATTATACCAAGCATTCAGCAAGGCTATATTTCGGCAGATTTTTTGTGCAAGGTTATGTAAATATTGCTTCATGACTTATTCAAATATCTATGCAGCTAAGTGAAGAACAATTTCAGATCTCCTTAAGGCCTCTTAAAGTTATCGTTAGCTCAACATTCCGACATTACGTGTATCCTCAGCCGTGTGTCAGCGGGAACATCGCAGATTTCCTTGTTACCCGCTCAAGAACTTTGAATAAATTCACGTTAAACAAAAGCCATTAATTACGCTAAATTGTTGCATTTCCGAATTATAGAAATAGGGCAAGAACGAGCCTGTCTTGCTGTGTTAAGAGCAGGCGGGAAGTTTGCTATAACCATTGTGCTTTTCAAACGAGGCGACTAACTGACTTGTAGCTATTTATAGCTATATGGGCTATATAGTACTTTCATAAAAAATAGCAAAAAAACATACGTTTTGGGGAAAGCGATTCGAACTGGTGCTGGTTCATATTTTAAGAAAGAACACTAAAAATTTGATAAAAAGTAAACGCTTGTTTTCAAATCAGTTTCTATATCTTCAGACGAGATTATCCTTCCGTTTTGTTTTAGAAACCCCATTTCTAACCTTAGTTCCGCTCAGCAGTCCAAACAAATCTGTGGGTTTAAAAAATTAGGATAGATTATGAATTCTCTTATTATTCCAGGGTAAATTTCTGTTGGCTGTTATTGTTATACAAAGCACAATATTGTGTTCAAGTATAAGACATCACGACTCGAAAAAGTGACAAATATTTATGAAGCCAAAATTAAGATGATATTGATCTTGAGTTGATTTCGTCAACTCGCAAGGTTATTATACTGTATCGTTACTTTTATACCGAGGTTTGGTTTCAAACGCATTTCATATGCCATCTATTAAAGAGAATGATTAAAGTGTTGGAAATTTCAAAATAGCATGTCGTTCTTTCGAGATTAAGAAATGTATGCAAAGAATGTATCCGTCTCTTAAACATGAAGGGTAAAATTGCTTTCTCGTCAAAAATATTTAGCTCGTCCTTTTGATTCGTCAAGAATCCTTCACTTATGTTAACTCGCACTTAAGTGACTTGTATACTTTTTTGCACGCACACGACATGCATCGCGAGCGTACATAAATCGTGGAACAAGTTGTTACGAGTTTGCAATGAAGTAGCCAGTGGAAAAACAGTGTGCCACGTGTCAAAAGCCACGCCCGATTGCCTGTTAATCGCTCATTTCCGTTCACTTGTTCTATTGTATTATGGCTTTTTCGCAAAAAAGGGGAAATTTTTTCACGCAATCAAACCTTGATCACCTCGAAAATTCTTGGGTAACAAGTAGGATACTCAAAATAACGTTTTGGTTTTATTGTGGCGAGCATCTGACTTGCTGATTTACGTCAAACTTTTAGCCGAATGAATACTTAAAATTATCCACGCCTACTCTAGTTATTCTATTGAATTTTTCCCACACGAATTTTTGAACACTTAACCGATTTCACCCATGAAAACACTCGAAAACTTTATAATTATAAATAAATAAATGTGCGTTCACATGACGTGGTTTGACTTTGAAATTTCCGTGCAAATTCATGCTTACAGCCGGTGAGTTTCAGACGGCCTTGATTAAGGCCTGCTGAATAACTAGAGACAGGAAATATACATAGACATTACATGTTAACTTTTATTATTATCAAGACACTCACGTCACAAGTTAAATATATCACAGACTATAAAAACTCTGGGTAAGGTGTGTCAGCTGACAATGCAAAGTATTAATACCCGAGCTTAACAGACCGGACTTATTATTCGTGGCAAACGATCTACAAATTGCATTATGCTCTATCACTGAGCTGAGTAGTAATGCTTAGCATGATTAGTGAATGTGTACTGACTGAAGTTGTTTAGTATATAAACAATAGTGTTATAATAATATTGCTGTTTTTATACTTACCCTCTATAGCCAAAAGTTTTTGGACTTCGAACAACTGAAATAGTTTAACTTGTTCACTGACTTGGTCTGAAATAAAACGAGCAAATAAGGCAGCTGCTTCCTCGAACATCAACCGACTTTAATGCTCAGTGAATCGTAAAATTCACTGCTATTATATTTTTGGTTCACTAATTAAAGTAAAAACTTGTTTGGTATTTTAGCCTCAAAGTACCTGGCCCGGCTGTTCAAAGCAGGATAAAATTACCTCGGATTAGCGCGATTTTCGTGACTTTTAACAAATTCCCCTGTTGATTATTATTTTTCCCTACAATTTATTGTTTCAACTCTAATGAGATGAATAGAAACTATGCTATTAAATTAAAGAAACAGGAAACCATGATAAAATCGCCGTGCCTTCTTCGAACAACAGTGCTGGTAGTTAAAGGAATCAATTCTTGCATCAGGCACTTTTCCTGATCGGTTTAGAATCGAAGGCGGAATCATGCACATCGCCACTAACAAGACGTTCAGGAGTTTGATCATGAATTGCCATATAATCCCGAGTGCATATCCCGGATACCGCTTGAAGCAGGGCTCTTTCCGTAGCAGCATCGATCGTTAATGTTTCCTAATCCGTTATCAAAGGTGTCATTTAGCAATATGTAACCAAAAATACTCTCCAAGACAAATCTGCTGAAACTGAGAGTCAAATATCTCATGATATATCAAGTGGGGAAAATAACCACTGAACTACTGAGTCAACAAAATATCGACGTCTGGTTCCGCGACATTTTATATCATGTAGACAGCAACTGGGATCAGAGCAAGACATTTCTCTACAAGAAATTGAAACGAATGCATAAAAAGTAAAGAAAACGAATACAGTTAGATTCTCTTCTATGTGAAAAACACAACATTTTATTAGCGCTTTATATATGAAAGAGATGCCGTTCATCTTCTCGATACATAGCTAGATGATTTTAGAGGTCTCCATTTTTTTGCAACCGTTGATAGTGGATTGGTATCGGTAAAACGCAGATGAAAATTTCGGTCCAACTTTTATGGTGACATTCATTAATGTTGCTACAGTTGAGATTTAAACATAGTCACAAAATGACAAAATCATGATGTTTAGGATTTCACTGAAGCGGAAAATAATTCACTGTTATGAGCTTACCATACATGTAAGTTATATATGACAACTC